CGCCGAGTCCCACCAGTTATTCAACTTAAAAATTAATATATCTATCGAATGAAAGGAATACACCAAAAAGGCGATAACTTCGGTCTTAAAAAAAGGAAAAAAAATCCCTGAAATCTCTACTGCGCAAAATCACTGAAACAGGATCACACTTTCGCTTTAAAAATATTTCCACTCACCCGGAGAAGCCCAATGCGATTGATTTTAATACTCTTCTTGATGTGAAACTTCCATTAACCCACATCGTCTCAAATATCTCAACAAAAAATTAAAAAACGAGGTAATGAGCGATATTCCCAGTGCAAACTGCTTTCTACCCTCTATTTCCTTTTTCCACACCAGCAAAAAAAAAAGAAAAAAATTGAATTCCTGCACTTTACTGAAGCATTTGGCTAGACTCAGCAATTGTCGGATTATCAAGTGCATCCGGGGGGCAACGACCAGTTAGAAATAAATATTTCTGTCATGTCTGAGCGTAACGATTTACGGGGAACATTTCAAAGCGAAAATTTTCCTCATCCTCTCCGTCCTCCTGTACTCTTCACCTCTCATTTTAAAGAGGATAAAAATGGGCCCCGCAAATGCGGACCAGATACTCCTGTTATTTGCCTCAGAGGGACGAGCTAAACATATTGGCAGTTAAAAGGGCTGGTGCTCACGTGCAAGCCAAATTTTACGATTCTCTAACTTTCTGGTCATTTTTATTTTCTTCATATATTTTTTCAAACTCTCCTGGTTATTTCTGTCTCACTTCGACATCCATTCATCCCACGCAGGTTTTATGACTCCTTGGCGACTCGGGTGGCGGTTGTCTCGAGGTTATCCTTCCTGGAAGGTAGAGATGGTAGGCAACAGTGGCGGTCTGTGGACCACTTAAGGCTCTTTATCGGTTTGAGGTCTTGTAGAAAACTGGTCCTTCGGTGGTGGGAATTATTGCACGAGACTGTCCGTATCTGGATGATTTTTTTAGAAATTTTTAGGCTCAACACAAGGTACTCCAGACGATTTGGCCATTTCTTCTTTCTGCGAACTGGCTTTCTCTGGTGATTCTAGGATTCCCAACGAGTTATCGATATCTTGTCATTTTTTACGTTTCAGATAAAATATACCATTTGTCCGTTCTTATTTTATCATTATTCAATGATACATTAGTTTTTTTTACTCTTTATTCACTTTTCTCACTTTTTCGTTGTTTTGGGAATTTTTTGAAAAATTTGTTGAGAAATGGCGAAATGGGATATTTTTTCACGGCAATTTTATCAGTCGGTGCTTAGGAATTCGTGAAAACCTGAACGAATGAGAAGGTATCGGTAATAATTCGAGATTATGAGGATGATTTCTTGCGTTTGTCGTTGGTACGTCGATATTTTGCGAAATTTCAAGGAGGAAATCGTTATTTCCCTCGACTGGCGTGAAAGTATTTCGAGTTTAGTTTAGTTTCGTGCTCCTCGGTCATTCGGAAAGTTAATGGCGATATGGAAACAAAGGAAATTCTACTGGAAGATGTTTATCCACCAGGAGATGAGCTACTGCAGAGAAATAATGTTGAGAGTAAAATTTTTATGCTACGAACGAAAGACCTGCGGTAGAAGTGGAGATGGAGTCTCCGGTGCTGTGAGAACTGCCACATGTTCACTGGGTTCAAGCCTTTGGAATTTATTTTCGTTTGGATTCCTATTGTCTTGGGGAATATTGATGCTTGAAAGAAATAGGGGAATTAGAAGGAGAAATAAATACATATGTAGATCAGGGGCTACAGGCGGTTCGGATTTCAAAAACTACCGATCGCTCCCCGGATCAGTCTTCTGGGTGTCTTTTCAGGAACAAGTGCATCGGAGAAGACGTGGTTTTTTTCGAGGGTAACAATAAAACATGTGACATGTAAAAGGAGAAAAATATTCTCACAGGCGTTCTGGGATGGAGCCATATGTACCACTTGACGGTTCTTCGAAATATTTGTTTAGCAGCAGAACTATTCAATTCTTGAATATTTAATATACTAGTAACAATTTTTAGTTGAGATGAGTTTCAATTTAATTTTCATTGAAAAATGTCAAATTCAATTAATTAATTTATTTATTCATTCATTCGATTTGTTCTTTCAATTTTTAACATTTCCATCAATTTTTGGAGCCACCGATTAAATGTACTTGAAAATTGGGAATTACCAGAATATTCAAGGAATTGACTAATCCGTCAATGGAAAAATTCCATAAAAAAATCATCTCTCATTGTTGCTAAATGTTATTAAAAAGTGTAATTTTCCAATGGGGAATTCATGCTGTTCGAATTTATTTTCGCTGTGAAGTGATAGTTTTTGAGGAATTAGTCATGCGTTTTTTAAAACTCAAGCTGTTCAACATGTGAGACATGATGACCGATTTTTCGGTGTGAGTCGATCACTCGCAGTCTTGGTTTATGCAAATTCATTTGTTAATCCCCTCGTTTCAGATTGTTATAACGAAAATGAATTAGGCATGGGAACTAGGGAAGCTACAACCCGCAGAGCTAATTCGACACGCGTGTGACTTTTACTCTCGGATTTTTCTTTTTGCTCGACCTCGGATACTCGAATACAATGGAATTAGATAACTATGCGGGTTGTCAGCGGATAATTGCTGAAGACATAGCTTAAACGCTGTACAACTGCTCAAGTGGTGTACATTTGTATTAGCGTTGAATTACATATCACGTACTCATAGAACTCGACTTACCGGTATAATCAGTTAGTACTTTGGCACAAAAATAATAAACAATGTTGCAAGGAGAATCGCTTTCACCTTTTACCACTGATTTTTTTCTCTCATTATATTCTCTTTAGACTAAACTCGATTGACCTCGAAGTAATTCAAGTAGTTTTTGCCTGATCGAATTACTGAAATCCAGAATTTATTTTCATAATTATTCCTATTGATTAGGATCGAGAAAAAATTGTTGAACAATTATAATGATTTTTTTTTTTTTGCGAATTGGAGTGTGGAGTGGAAGAATCATTTCACTGGTGTAAATTCGTTGTGGTTGAAGCCACGAAGAAAAAACTTTTATTTTTTGCTGACAAATGGATTCTGCAGTGTGAGTTTATTTCGTGTTTCGTCGAGTCACTGGCAGGCTAATTTTCAGACCCTCTGCACGTCAATCTGCAGATGCTAATCACTGGAATTTGGTTGGTCGAGGGGATGAGATTAGTGGTAAACTCTCGTCAGACGTCTTTTCAAGTGGCTCTTTCAGGGTTTATGGTGTTTTGATGTTTCGCAGATATGTCCAATGCAAGAAACGATTGCCGACCGATCTTCACACCGTTGAAAACCGTGAATTACATGGTTTACTTCCTTTTACGGAAAATAATTGTAATAATCGGTTTTCATTTTACCTTCGAATACATATCATTCTCTCTGGTTTTTTCCATTGTTTTTTATCCATCTGAGTAACTTCAGACTCTGAATTTACGTATAAAATCCTTTTTAAAAACATTAAAAAGAAAAACAATCGCCAATTAAAATGTCTCTCTTGTTCAATATTTTTTTTTTACATATCATTTTTTTATAGAACGATATCCGATGTGTTGAAGAGTTCATTGAATAATTAAAAATTTTTTCATGCCAAAGTATGTATCTTCGGTTCTATCCAATCAATAATTTTTTCTAGAAAGTTTTGGCTAAAAATGTGTGAAACGTCTTTAAATCAGTCGTTTGATTAAAAATCAACAAGATCAACATTTAAGTAGAACCTGTATTCCCGTTTTTGAGGGGAAAGTGAAGTTTATCATTCTTCTTCCCCTTCATTACCCACACGACACAGATTACCCGCCGAAAATCCCTTTGAACCTCTCCTCCGTAACAAGTTCCTCGTAGAGATAACGAAGAACTTATATCCTTCTTTATATTTATTTATGTTTTTTCTATTTTGTGTGGTGTCTTTCATACCCTCTCGAGCCGAAACGTGTAAATTTATCGCGCCGGCTGTTATAAGATCGGATAATACTTTCTGACTCACACTGGGAACCCCCGGGGTCGTGATACAAACGTTTGAATACAAAACGGTTTTTATACAGATCCGGTAAAAATTACCCCACCTCAAAATATTGGTTTAGGACCGGGTTTTTTTTATATCGATCCATCGATACGTTTTTTATCGGCCCCCAGTGCCATTTGCGATAGTTTTAATCAAACCCTCTGATGTACGTAATAACCCGGGTTTATTGAGCTGCAGAGAATCGAGAAAATCGGGTTGACTCGTAATATCCCAGATGTAATTTCGTTTTCCATCTGGAATACCAGATCAGAGCAGTTCGTTCTTCAAAATTTCATCTCTTGGATTTTTCGTAGATAATTAACGACTGATTAGATCTGCCGAGAGTGCACGTCATCGTCAATTAGTCCTGCCTAATTGCATTAAGTACTACCAGAGAGCCTTGAAAATTCTCCACATGCAATATTAACCGTTCAAAATTTAATTAAAACGTCGAAACTCGTTCGGCGAGAGGAGAGTCTGGGGTACAGCTGAAAAGCAGACTGAAACTTTAATAATGTATTATTTTCGTTGCAATCTCATGCTTGAATACATTTTTTAATTATGTTTTGGGTGCAGTGGATGTATTTACGCATCGCTTCTCAAATAATTTCTCTGGAATGATCTATAATAATTTTTGTGAGAAAAATAATTCCGCCATTCAATCTCAAAGTCAGAACACATGCTATGATAAATTACGTCACAGAAATATTGCTCCGAGTGCGCGGCCAATTCAATTGAACTCACTTGAGTACTTCTGGTAACACAACCCAGGCCAAAATACTTGTCTTCATATATTGTCAGGCTGTCGCCTCTCTTATCTATCCCTCAACGAGAAGACGAGTGTTAATTGTCAAGGGGTGAAGGGTTCAGTGTTATTTATCTCAAAACAATGAGCGCAGAAATTATTTTATTTGCGTTTGAGGTGTTAAAAGGGCGGATGAAACAGACCGAAGAAATTTACTTAAGCTAATTGTTACCCTTTCTGTTTTCAGAAGTGCGTAAAGGCACGGGCCCTTTATGACAACATTGCCGAGGCACCAGATGAGCTGGCATTTCGCAAGGGTGATGTTCTAACTGTTCTGGAGCAAAATACTTCGGGTCTTGAGGGATGGTGGCTATGCGCCCTCAGGGGTAGACAGGTATTTTCTCATTCCCTCAATTTTCGTCATTTGCTCTCGCCTTAAATCTGCATTTTTCTTCCATTTTTTTTTGATCGAATGCTTTTCAAGCGGTGGCCGGGGGTCTTCTTCCCGGAGAAAATTTACCTCGAAAATTTCCCCATCAAATTATTTTTTAGTTCAGTCTGGGGATTTATTATTTGGTCATTCTATGGAAATTTTAATGATGATTAATTGAAAAATAATACAAATATTTCGACCCCATGATTTTTTCCTGTATTTATCGATGATTTTGTTGATTGATAATTTTCATTCATTATGAGCAATGAATTTTTCATTATATATGATAATTTGTTTATGATTCGGGGTTTTCTTTTTTTATCCAGAAAATTAATATCTGAAAAATTTTATCTGACGAAGACGCGGTTCCTTCTGATCATCTTGCAAATGGAAAAATGATCAAATGAATGGAATCCGTCAGTTCAACGAGTTCACTCATTAACTGTCATTAAACTCCTCAGGGAATCTGTCCAGGAAATCGACTGCGTCTGCTAGTAGGTCAGTACGACAGTGGTATTGGCGGCAGTCGAGCTGATCTCACCCTCTCCGAGGATGGAATCCAACGTCATGGAAAAAGACGGAGTTGGCACGTTCAATCGAACAGGGTGAGTACCTTTAAATAGATGATCTAAATAATCCCATTTCACATTAAAAGACCCTTCCTCCTGGATTCCTGGACAATTGGATTGAGTTGAAAATCACCGCCTCCCCTTTCGCAAGATATTTCCCTTTATAATTCATTTGGATTGAGAAGGCAAAATTGCAATAAGATGTTTCCCGTATTTTTTCCGTATTTTTCCCGTATTTTCCTGAAGGGGTCAAATGAATGATCAGTGGCAAAGGTGAGGCAGGAAGCAGCTGACGATGCGTATTGAGGTACAGCCACGTGCCAGAATGGCCAGCCACGCCCTCATGAGCCCCTCAAGAATCTTTTCATTCTCAAAAAAAAAAAAAAATCTACCGCTTTTCCCCCAGTCAAAGACCTTCATTTACACATTTCACGTTCCATCATTGTGCTACCACCACAAAACCGTTATAAATACTCATCCTCACCCATGAATTCACTCCAAACATCTTCCTCATGATTGATATCCCTCATGACTTTCATTCTCCTTTTGAGTATTAAAAAAATGGGACAACAGTGACAGTTGGCTCAAGTTTAATTTCAACCTCAATTCGGTGTACCCTTGCAGATCGATTTGGATGGAATCGATTGTTTGGCATGGGGGTAACATTCATTGGCCAGTTTGTGTGCGCATACAAGGTCTAATTCGTCCGGAGTGAACCCCATCAATTTGAACAAGCGCCCCTAGTGCCTTGGACCCATATGCCGGCATACGTGTTCTTCTGTTGGAAAATAAATAGAGGCAATAATGTCCGGAAAGGAGTCAGCTGACTCAACTGTTGTTATACAGTTGCGCTCTTTCAATCGAAATTTGAGAGGGCATAGTTGCGATGGCCAATTGTGGAGGTTGGGGATTTGCAATTGAACTTGCAATCGGATTTGCAATCGAATTTGCAATCGAATTTGCAATTTGTTTTACACCCCTTTCGAAATTCACGTGTTTTTTTTTTCCTGGAAAAAAATTTTAAAAATTGAGACAATCGCGAAAATTAGAGAATTATCGGAGGAGTTTGGGAAATTCAAATAATGTCAATAATTTAGAAAATCGTGAAAATTGCGGAAAAATTAGAGGAATTCAAAGATGGCGTTGGATCTCATTCTGACGAGGTCAGCAAGTAGAATTTTTTTTCCTCTACGCAGCGCCTCCAGTTTTGAGGGATAAGTGATCCATTCGTATCCGAATGAAATTATTGTGAAAAATACGAATTTTTGAAAAATCATGAATAATCGTTCAATAACTTCCCGGAACTTGTTCCCGTGGAAGCTGTACAGTTACCTCTCCCCCCGAATACAAGCTCATCATAACAAAAAAATAGCAGAGCGCAAAACACTAACAGAAGCGATGAAGCCAAGATCCTTTTTTTTTTATCAACAACTGGAATTTTATGGTCTGTCCCATGGAGAACCTGCTGGCCTGTACTTGCCATGTTGGACACTCTGGTGTCCCTTGTTGGCCTTATAAGTCCCTGAGGTCGACGTCGGTGGGGCGTGCGACAGTGTATCTGCAACTCGTGCAAACACACGCCTCAGTATCTTTGAGGAGAAATAAAGGAGACAAAAGTACTTTGCGAAAAAGAAAAAAAAATAGGGGGAATGGAAAGAGAGATACAAAAAATAGCGCGGAGAGAGCCAAGAGGACACTGCAGTCATCTCGATGGAATGTGCGGGCGGCATCAAAGAGTAGAGGACAGAAGATGCGTGCATGGATAAGACCCATCTGCTCCCCTATGTGGATGATACTTTTATTCGAAACTTCCTCTCTTGTTTCATGTTTTAATTTGTCCTCTTTGGAATTAAAAGATACCAATTGAGGGAACGATAGAAATGCGAGTGGAGAAATCCGTGATCAGAATTTTTTGCGAGTCTTTTGGTGGTATTTTACTCGGATGATCACAAGTGGATGATCTTCCCCAGATCATCATCCTCGACGATTTTGTTGTCCTCAGTTTTCCCTCGTCGTTGAATACAACAGTTAATAAAACGATTGAAATATAAATGCGCGACGCCTCCTCAGTCCACAACTCTATAAACACCGAGTGAAAATAAATGAATAATAAAAAAGAAATTGCACGGAGAACCTGAGGAAGTGTGCGTAGGCAGGGAAACTACGGGTGATATCAATGAACCCGGTGGAAACTTGTTTGCGCGTGGGTTTATCCTCAGTTCACTAGGACCTAGGGTGTGTACGTGCAGAGCTCACACTACAGGGGTAAAAATATTCTTGATTAATTAGGTAATCAAGTTTATAAGCGATGACATCGTGTAGGCAATATTCAATTAGATATTAGAAAGGGAAAAATCAGATTCTCATGTATAAATTTTAATTACGAAAGTCTGCATTTTGCAATGGCAATACAATTTAATCGTGAATTGATGAAGTTCTCTGCTCCATCGCAGATAAATTAATTACATTATTTCGCGAGATGCCTATAGAACTGTTTTTTTTTCTGGAATCATGATACATTGCGTAATGAGTGTATGCACCGCTCCCTCAAGAACTACAATGCACACCCCCTCGTTAGGCACCAGTTGCACGTTTCACGAATCCCATGAATATAATGTACCTGAGCCTCCCCCAGAATCTTCAACCCCACTAAAGATCGCTCAGGAAGACATACCTGGAGGGAACTTGGTGGTTCCTATGGCAACGTCATCCCTCTCACTGACATTTTTTTTTTCCTCCCTTTTCCCTCATTTTTACAATCCCTGGCATACACTTTCCGTTTTCATCTGGTCTTCCCTCTTCTCTCTGTACACTATTTTTCACGTTACAGGTCATACGCCTTTTGGTGTACCCGGGGATGAGGAGGGAAGAGAGTGAGAGTGCGCCGCGACGCTCGGTATCGACCGACCTCAACCCCCAACTCCGTCCTTTCCTCTCATTCCATCTCACCCCTTTCCACTTTTCAACCCCCTCAGCATCACCACTACAATCAAATATCCTAGATGCCTCTCCGGTTTTTCCACTACGAGAGAAATAGTAAAATAACGTGGCTTCTTAATTCAGGGTCGCTCTCAGTCTACTCCATCACGTTTTTCTCTTTATTTCTTTTTTTTTCCGCTGTTTCAAGAGGAAGGCGCGGTGTATAGAGCCCACGTACACTCATTTATAGAAGAAAAGGTTTCTCTCATTTCTCTATTGAAAAAAAAAGAGAATTGATGAGGGTCCGCTGTGTGATGGAATAGTAAAGAGAATAATGGCTGACTAATCGAGGAGCTGTGGAAAGAGGGAATGAATTATTTTTTTGAATTACTCCAATTATCGAGTCGCGATGAATAACTCGATGTTTTTTTATTGTTATGGAAATAGGGGGATGGATTACTAGAAATTTGTGGGGTGGGAGGAAAAATTATCAGGAGAATTTCGGGAATGATTTTGCGGGAGATTTGATTTTTTTTTAATTTATCGATAAAATATCGAAAATTTCGGGGGGAAAGTGTATTTTTGAAATTTAGGAAGCTTTCCTTTGCAGACTATTCATACGAGGTCTGAACTTTTAATTCCATACCTTTCATCTCCCCTCGATGGGGGAGAGAGTAAACACGTCTTTTCTGCTCGATTGTACATACGAGCCCTTCACTCAGGGCGGAAATGTCATAATTAACCCACCCGAGGGTTTAATTGGTGGATGAATTGAGAAGAGAAGAATTAAGAGTCCTCGTTCCTTCATTTTTTACGGGATGCCGGGGCTATGGCAATGGCAATCATATCGCCCCGGGATATCGAACGTGACTGGCACGGTAGTTGATGGATATTGCGAGGCGTGGTCGGCGTTGTTGGTGTCCTGGATCTTATCCAAATTTATCCACCTCCGGGGGACTCAGGGAATGGGGTTTTAATTTTCCGTACATATATATATTTTATTTCTTTTTTTCACCTTTTTTCAACGTGTTTTTATCTTTTTGATCCACAGGTGGTGACACCGCAAAAATGTGGGGATGTCTATCTGTACGATCTGCCAGCGAATCGGAGCAGTCCTGCCCCATCCTCACATCGAGATTCACCGCTGAATTCGATGGATCAAATTCATGGAGGTAATTTTTTTTTTTCAACGAGAGCATTCAATTACTTGGGCTCTTGAATCACGGGGATTGAAATCAATTGTCATCCCATTTTTACATGAGGACATTCGAGTAATGAATGTAAATAAAAATGATTATAATATCGTAATAATGAATTTTAATGTATCCTTTATTTTTGGAGATATCTCTGAAAGTCTGAACAGATAAGGTGATCTATTTTATTTTATTACATCACTGCGGAATTATCTGGAAACGAATCTTAATTCCCAGGTCGATTCTCCAGTGGTCACCAGAACTCTATAGACTCCGGCGGTGACATGAGTGATTGCTACGACGTGCCGCCCCGAGCAACTCCAGTAATTCCGTCTCCAGCCAGCAGTCCAAGCCCTGCTCCCTCGTGCTACGACATCCCCAGGCCACCCACCTCCTGCACACCAAATTCCAATTGTTCCGGCGGTTCGGGTGCCACTCCCCTGGACTGTTACGACGTACCTCGTCCTCTGCAGCCCCTCACCCCGAGTAGCTCAGCCTCCAGTCTGACAAATGATGGATCATTGAGTGGCTCCAACAGATCAAGCATAACAGCACCCGACTACGACATCCCGAGACCTCGTCTTCCCTCATCATCGAGGTACAACAGCCTCCAGAAAATCTCAACAACCCCACCTCCAAGTCAAATGCCTCATAATCATCAGAATCAACAGATTTATGACGTTCCTATCAGCAAAGAAAGCCCACAAGTTAACAAAGAGCTTCCACTGGAGCTTGAATCAGCTCTCGAGGGCCTCCAGAAGCTCCAGAGTGAGGCATCAGCTGCTGTTGGTCGTCTCTTGGGGTTCGTGAGCCCTGGGTGGAGGACTGCACAGCGTCTCGATGCAACACTCATGGATTTAAGACTGGCAGCACTGAGATTGAGAACATCTCTTCATGATTTAGCGGAATTCGCTGAGGGCACACTTGGCAATGCCAGTAAGGCACCTGACAAGGGACTTGCTAATAAATTTAGGCCACTGGTTAAGGCCCTCAGGGACTCGGATAAACTGGTGCAAGAGGCTGCGACCGAGTTGGATCAGATTGAGTGGGACGCTGGGAGGCTAGCCAGAGGTGGTGATGAAACATCAACGCCCACTAATGGCACTCCAACGGGTATTGGTCAAACACCACAACCCGATCCACTGGATCAACTCATGGCGTGTGCTAGGGCACTCACTGAAGATGTTCGACAAATTGCCAGTTTTATTCAGGTATTTTTGCACGTTTCCAAAATTGTTTATATGAAATAATTACAGAATAAATGTAAAATATTGTTTTTTTTTAAATTAACACTCAAGTCATTAGATTTAATCACATGTTTTGAGTAATGGATGGATTGAAGTCAATTTGGGATGTGGAATGAAAAAATGTTGTTGGTTTTATTTTCACAGGGGAATTCAACACTTTTATTCAAAAGATCGTCAATCATCTCCAGCAGTGCGAGCACAAATGCAGAGGACTATGACTACGTGAATTTAGATTCACGAGAGACTGTGGCGAAGCAAAGGGAGGACATAAGGGCGGCACTCCCTTCCGACGAGCTGAGGAAGAGTTATGATCTCCTCGTGGCGGAGGCTGATAACGCAGCTATTCAGACAACTAGTACGCCGACTCCAATGGATCCTAATGATAAGCAATTGTTGGCGTTCTACGTGGCGCAAGTGATAACACATGGGGCACATTTGACACATGCTATTGAGGCATTTCTGCAAACTGTACAGCATAATCAACCTCCGAAGGTAGAAATCAGAGATAATCATATAATTCCAATGATTATTGGACTTCTAACACGAAATTTTATCCACAAAAAAATATCTACTGATTAGATATATACTTTTTACTGAATCTTTTTTTTGTTGCAAGGGCTCACATGTTTATGGAAGAATTGTTTTAATTTTTATTTCAGGTTTTTCTGGCGCATGGAAAATTTGTTGTCCTTAGTGCACACCGTCTGGTGCACATTGGCGATACAGTTCACAGGAATGTCACAAGCAATGAAATACGAACGAGGGTCCTTCAGTGTGCAAATGCTCTGAGTGAAGCACTCGCTCAGACAGTATCAAAGACGAAGCAAGCAGCCCAGTTCTTTCCAAGTGTTGTAGCTGTGCAGGAGATGGTTGACAGTGTTGTTGACGTTTCTGTGCTGTCTAAAGAGCTCAAAGTTGCCATGATTCACGCTGCTCAGCAGCCTTGAAGCTCAAACATGTGCCACTGGGGATGGAATGAAATTTTACCTCAAAACATTGCTGAATGAACTTTTAAAGTTCGATTACTATTATTACACACTATACAGCGTTAAAGTACTGCCAAAGTATAATTTGCGGATAGAAAGATAAATGATAAAATAGAAATCATGGAATCAAATGTGTCGAGTAAAGTGGTAACGGGAAATTAGGCCATGTTTTATGAAATAGATGAGATTTTGACTTTATTTTGTAGCTGAAAATAACGTAGACCCTTTTTGGAATGTATTGTAATTTTGGAGGTCGTTTTAGAGTCAAATGATGTTGAACGCGGAATTAAGGAAGTGGGGAATGAGATGAGTGAATTTGGTAGACTCGCGGATGTAATGGAATTATTATTCTACATATTGAAGAAACCAAAAAAGAGATTCACCGTCGATTTTGAGTGAGAGATAAATTTTTTATACCAGAATTTTTGTCAGGCAGCTGTGAGTCCACTGTTGGATTTTCGGACACTTATTGATGTTTATTTAACTTTGAATTGAAGTCACAACGACATTGAACTGCTGATTTATGCAGAGAACTGATTTTACAAAGAGACGAATTGAAGACCAGGGAATATACACATTTGTAATTTTGTGAATTGTTTATAATTTATTTGCCATGAAATTTTGTAAAAAAATGTATTCGTTTTAAACGACGAGTTCTGTATTGTGATGTTCTTCAGTATGAAGCCGATTTTCGAATGAATTCGGTGCATATCGAGATGAAAAATTGAGAAAATTATTGAAAAAAGAGAATTGTAAAACACTTAATTGATCCTAGATGTAAGAATATTATACAATGTACATAATTAGGAATATTTATATATAATTCCTGTCCTATCAGTGTTATCCATGAGTAGGGAAAGAATAATAGAAAAAGATAGTGTATCCGAACTGTGCAATGAGATAATAATCGAGAGGTTTGAAGAGGCAACAATTATCTACTTATAAACGGCAAAAAAAAGTTCAGGAATTTTTAGGTTCTTGTGATTTTATTTTTGTGGCGTGTCACCCCTTGTATTTATAAACACCCGAGAATTCAATAAAGAATTAAAGCCAAATAAAAAATGCCTTTGTCTCGCATTTTCAATGCATATAATGAATTTTAAAAAGATTTTATCGTTGCAATATTCTGCCTTTTTGAAATTCTATTCGTACGTGAGGGAGATTAAAAAGTGAAGTAAAAAGATATAATCCCACAAGATGTTTATTACGATCCAAGCATCTTAGTTTAACATAAAAATTCATTAATCCATGTACAGAATGACTTTGCTTGTATGAAACTCCTCAAATGCACTAGGACCCCTTAAGAATGATCGCAGCATCGTCCAGTATGTGTGTGTTGCTGAGTAGCCGAAGAATTCTTAGCTGCTGAGTCTTTGATCTGCTTAACAGTGTCGTCCCTGATCCTGTCCTGCTTCTCGATATGAAAGCTGCTGAGATCCCTTTTCATGGCATAAGCATCCTCACCGTCAGCGTAGTATTTCGGTTCGACTTCAGACACTTCGAAGCCCAAACTACTCGTGTAGAGGTTCAACGCGGCTCTATTACTACGCCGTACATGGAGAGATACGTAATTAGCATCGAAGCACTCGACCATAGCCCTGGAGGCCTGATTCATGAGCTTTTGGGCAATTCCTAAACGTCGATGGGATCTCTTGACAGCTAAACTCGTGATGTGACCGTGAGGATTGTCCTCGCAGTCCTCCTCCATCTTGGCTAGGACGTAGCCAACAATTCTGCCTTTTTCATCCTCAGCTACGTAACTCAACTGTGGCCACGACAACGCGTGATAGAGGTAGTACTTCATCTGGTAATTTTCCGGCAGACATTGGAGATTGCAATGCTGAATGTTCAGCAAATCGTTGGTATTCGCACAGCGAATGTTTATCGCCATCTTATTATAGTTGTTAAAGGATTAATGATCAATCGGTTGTGGCGTAATGCTCGTTCGATGTCTAGTCCTTGCGAAGCTTTTTTATGCGAGAGCGACCGTTTTTGAGATCATGCACTGATGAGGACTCACTCATTCCACCGAGGAGTTCACGAACGAAGCGGAATCGGGACAAGAAAAATTTCCAAACCAAATACCAACCTGAGAAGAAAGAGATTTCATTTCATGAAAGAGAGTTAGAGATTTAGAGATATGAAGGAATTAACTCGATGGCTCCAAATTTATTCCATAAATGGCAATTCATGAGTAAAAAGTAAAAAAAAAATCTCCGATTCACAAATTTAAAGAAAAAAAAATTTATCCAGTTAAAAAAACGATCTGAAGTAAAAGATTATTAATATTTGAATAAAAGATTAAGGTTATGTGATTCTAGAAATAACACCAATTGTTGAATTGTTCAAGGGAAAATAGAAGAGAACCAAGTCATTCTGATTATTGTGACGATTCAATGAGGAATTGAATGCACTTGCTTACCCAACAGCACTAAGACGAAAACAATGATAAGACTTGAGATAACGGAAAAAGCAGCGAGTGCAATTTCCTGCATATTTACTTAATTATTGAACGTTCAAACACCTCGTCCCTTTTTTACATTCAATTTCACGATTTTAATGTCATAACCTCTGCCCTAGGATTGCGTCAATTCCCAAGACGTAAATGATTGAATTGAAAATGATTATAAAATTTTTTTCCTAACATCAATGTGACTAGATCAATTGCGTCTCGATATCACCGCGCCATTTTGAAATTAAATTGTGTCTGACTTTTAGGTTATGTTTATGATGGTTCGAGTGGATTCGGAGGAGATATCGATGGTTTTATGAATGATAATTGATAATATCTTACAAGTTTAATACATCGTACTCACTCCTGATGCTGCACCGAGGTTCAATTACGGATTTACTAAACTACACATTTGATAATTCACGGTTTTTTTCAGGAATGAAAACGACTGAATACAGCCGTTCGCTGCAATATCGATACTTCACAATATCGATATTTTAAAGTCACGTATTCGACATTTCGCTTTCGATATTCTCAGTGTATCGATACTTTTTGAATGGCCGCGCGTTTTTTTAATGTGGAATTTATGATTATTGTGAAGAGACAACAAATAATGAAAATGTAATTAAATCCGGTAATCTATACATAATATATATTTATTCATTATTTACACATTTACATTTTTGGTTGTAAGACCCAGCGATCTGGAGTTTGAGTCATTGTTACGCTTGAAATCCTTGGAATCCCCTAGATTGCGTATTAAAAATTCAAATGAAATGTCATTACTTAGGACATGCAGTTAATTATGTCTCAGGAGGGAAGAATAATCAGGAGAGTTCAATTATGCAAAAATAAACCACTCTCAAGAATGAAATAAATTAACCACAGAATAACCCCCAGATTTTTTCTGATTTCCAGAATTCAGTTCTCAAATAAAAATATTTTTCATATCAGAGTGACATACCTCACTCAAATACAATTGATTCATTATTCAACGAGAAGATATCGGTTAAGATTGAATGTGGGCATTCCCCAAGGTCTTGTCTATCGAAGAGGAAAAATATTGAATTTCAATAAATCGGAGGACTGATATGGAAATACAAGAAATTCCAGCCATTATAAATACGTGTTTAATCAGTAGTTGATAGAGCACGTCCTCAAATATGATATTCTAAAAAATAATTTCTATCTCGGGTGGGAAAAAAAAGAGATATATAAACACCCTCGGCAAAAGTTCATCACATAGATTCTGTTTTCTCCCAATGACTAAAAGATTCTAGTGATTAATTAATAATCTGTCACTCTATTTCGAGTACGATATTTTCTTTTCACTTGTCACTTCGTGGAGAGTAGGTATGAATAAAAAAGAAAAACTAAAAAGTCAAAACGATTTAAGCGGTAAAGCGAATTAAGTAGCGACTGAAACGCCTATTTCGGCTGTAAAACCTGCAAAAAAAATCATGGCATTTTCCTTAAAAAAAAAAAAAGGCGTGGATATACTTTTGGACTACATCATTGAGATTGCACCCAAACTTTACCAGGAGTAAGACATTTGTGTGTTTTGAGTTGTAGTACATAGTAATTGGTGCTTCGCTTGTAATAATTATAATATTATTATTTTTCTCAGTGAAGGAAATGACGTATATTCACTTAAAAGTTGTCTTCGCCGAATCGGTAAATTAATCACCACCGAAGAACAATTAGCAAAGGTTAATAGATTAATTTTATTTTTTTTTCATGAAATAATGAAAATCAAATATGAATTTCTATTTTTTATGTGCAGTTGAACAACAGAATGAATCGGTTTGTGTACAGAGTCAGTGAGCAAATCCGTTGGGCAGTTAGAAATAATTTCAACTGACTGGATTCAAATCACGATGAGTTTGCGCGTTTCTTCTCGCTGGAAGAAGCTGATAAATAATTATATAGTATTCAAAGGTATTTTTAAGTTCGGTTCATGCGTAAGAATTTTCACGCGTAATCCTATCCTCATAATCTCAGTGGCCATTCCGAATAAAACTCATTTCTCATTGGTCAATTGGCTATGTTATCATCAACACAATGGAATCAAAAGGCGGGGGCGGAGCGCGGTTCGGTCTCCTGTAAACAAGATTTGAGATAAGAATAAGCACAAATTTTACAAAATTTGATTGGATGATTTTTCTACTGCCGGTGACTCATTGGGTACTTTACCTATGAAGGATATCGGAAACGAACTGTTTACTTCAAAAGGGCTTTGGAACACTTTAGCTACGAGAGGTAATGGACGACTTCTACCAGCGAAAGATAATCCTGAATTGATTGTTGCACTGATTATTTATGGTAACAATGAGTTTAGTAATTTTTCAGTAATTGAGTGATTGCGAAGCAATTGCGAAAAATTAATTTACTTCAAAAACTTTAATAAATGTTTCTTTTTCAAGGAAGTGATAAGGGATAATGATAAAAAAAATGAGAGAAATCAGTGAAAACAAACGGAATTAAATAAACTTTACATACATTTATTTTTAATAGCGTTTCATATTCGAGGATTTTATTACATTATATAAACATAGACATTTCGTTTTTATTTTTGTTCATTTTATTGTTTACGCTAGTGTTTTTTTTTACCTAGAACGTTTTGTTTAATCGTAGGATTACTATTGGGTAAATTCCTATGCATGCAGTATTCCATTGTTTATTTGGTAAAACGTGCGTTGTGATTCAAATACACATATTTCCTGTTATTTTGCATTCCTTTGCTGTTTCTTCGGGATTTCGTATCATTGCTCTTGCGACTGTATACTACCATCGAATGTTTCGTAGTAAAACCATTGAAGCTCCGTACTTTCATTCACTTTCAATTGTTTTATTACCCCTACATTTGCACAATCGTTCACGCCTATTTCTAATGCTCATAAATTTCATTAACTTGTTGTTTGCTCTTTCAGCGATTGAAATGACATAGCGAATAGAAAATTTCTTATCAGCAAGTGTTTTTCCCAATTCTGCAGGAAAGGGGCAAAAAAGATGAATAAACAATAAGTCTTATAAATTATTTAGCAAAAATTTTTGTAACCACGAGATCTGATTTTATCGTGCGATTAATACATTTGTTTAGTTTCATTTTAGTAAAATAATTCATCAATCATCTAAATTTGCGTTTTTCCTCAACCTACTATTTATTCAACTGAAGCTGAAAATCTATTTCCAATTCATCTCCTGTCACCCCTTCTTCGCAGATTTTCTTCCTTTTTTTTATACAAAAATGAAACATTTACAGTGAAATTCGATTGCGAATAAGTATTATTAGTTACGTAGGAGTCCGAAGGAAGCACAATCCTTTGATGGCATTATTCATTTTGTTCATTATTTTGTTCATCCGTTAACTTAGACACCTATTCCCAGTTCCATTAGTATTATTGTCCACAAAGACGTATCCTTCATTTTTTCGCCTCATTCCCTCTTTCGGCAATTAATTCGTTTAATTTATTAGATACGTTCATCTTTAACGTCTCGTTCATTTGTTCAATTGGTCGGGTCGGGTTTTTTTTTTAATGTTGTAAATGACAGAAATAACAGTAACTCCGTACGAACAATGTAATCATGATTTTCGTGTAGCCAGCTGTGTGAACATAATTAAATAAGACCATTAAAACATCGATAATTGTAAAAATATCGGTCATACAAAATAATAATTGAATGTAAAATACCTTAAGCTATAATACCGTGGAAAAAGAATATTTTACAATAAAAATAGAACTTGGTTAATAAATTACGAGTATGATACATCTACTGTTTCTTTCTGTTCTGTGTCTGTGTAAATTAAAATAATTATAATAAGAGTATTTAAATACAATTTCAGTTTAATTTACTTTCAATATTTTTTTTCCATTTTTTTAAGTAAATAGATGTATCAATTTTTTATTTTTTCGTTTATATATAAAAAGGAGCGAATTTTAAAGACGTTTTTTTTTGCTAAAGAAAAATATAATTTGTGGGTAAATAGAATTTTTTGTCAGCGTTAAAATTTTATTCAATTACTAAAATAAACCATTGTTAATGGTAAATAAATAAGGGGTAAATACTGGCAGTGGTGAATATGAGATAATTAGCCAATGAACAAGCCGGTAAGAAAAGCAGGTTCAATATTCAATTTTTGCTCAGTAAGCGAATGTTCCAAGTAAATTTGTCGATATTTTTTATCTTTTCCGTTGATTCTTCTCGACTTTATTGGATGGTTAATCAATAACTCAGTCATCCACTGCCTAAAAATACATCTCGCATCATCGCACCTTAACTTTTTCAATTCCAAGGCAGGAGAGCGATGTCACTTAATTCATTAATCAAGTGGATTTTCATACATAAAGCGTTCAAATGTGTTTAAAACAACAGGTGAACTTCAATTAAAATCAATAGTGCAGCATTGAAAACCGACAAGTTCAATACATGAGGCCGATCACCACAGTAAATTACAGAAAAATCTGTGGAGCGCAAAATTCTACTTTGATTTCTGGAATTTGGAAAAATTCAGGAAAAATGTGAGAACACTTGTTTTTGTAGTTAATACAAATTTCTACAAATAATGTATTCCGACATTTTCCATTGGCTGGATTAGCTTCAGAGATGTGGATGGAATAATTCCAATAATTTTGTGCCTCATCTGTTTTCAGTACGTCACTAGAGAAATTATTCAATAACAATTTAGTTGGAGGTCGCATCCTCACAAATGCATTCTAATTAATAGCCTTACCTCGTCGTACTGAAAACGCTCGTACCCATGCTTGCATTAGAAAAGAATATGGATACCCACGAATTTACAATTTTTTATCCTAAAAAAATTGGTTTATCTCATACAAATATTCCAATATGCATATAGATACTCGAATACCGATTATTTATAACTATGTTTAATTATTAATTCTTAATAATACATATCACACTGAGCCGGCTGTGTGTGTCCATCATTTTTCGCCCGCACTGCGTCCACTCACTCAATTAATTACCAGTTATTCTTCGTTTCTTCTTGACGTATGAATTTATAAAATGGGGTTTTTACTCGGTACTTTTTTCGTTGACTTCAGCTGAAATGCCGGGTGTAGGCAGTTGGGGAGTTGGGCAGTTGTGCGGCTGTATCTTCGTTTTTATTGTTTTTTTGGATTTTTAGTAACATTTGCGAGTGCAGGTGCACTTGCGAATTAAATCCACATCCTTCGTGTAGCGTCTTCCATCATTACAAATTAGACGAACCTGAGACAAATTCAATTTCCGGTTTCCAATTGCGACAAAATAATATTACAACATTTAACTACAGTCATTTATTGAGAAAATTCAGGACAGAGGAATATTTACCTTGCGACGTTTGGTTTTGCGTGGAAGGCAACAAGAATTGGCACAGCTTCCCCAGCATTTAGCGAGTTTTACTGGTCGTCGACTGCGACATCCATTCTCGCTGTAATACTCTCGTGTATGTTCCTTTCTACATGTTGGCGCTGTGAAAATATATTAATAATACAGGGATTGCAATATAATAATTTTCTATTTTTCTAAAGCTTCATGGATCTTAACGCTATATTTTTCCGCGGTATTTCGATCAATTCCGCTCAATCTATATTATCACCTTTATATTAAAAATGTAAGTGACAAATTGTATCAACAGTTTATTCTGCTTTACCTTTCTCGCAGTATCTCCCCTGCCACCCAATCTGGCAACGACATGTGTATCCATTGCCAAAAGGTGCTGGCACACATTGAGATCCTTTGCGACATTCGTGTCCAGTGCAGGGATCGACCATACTCGAGCCTGGCAGCGCCACAATTTCTAAAATTGAGAAAGAAATTTCCCGTCACTCTTATTTCTCACTTTAACGCGTGGGAGTTATTCTGTGTTTTATGATTTTTCAACGTACCAGAATGATCATGCACAACGTGCTCGTGCTGAAGAGAGTCGTCAAGGTTGTCCTCTTTGAGTGATGATGGTGTTACCGGTTCTTTTTCAGCCTCGTCAGCCTCTTCGTCGTTAGCAACACATCCTGGTGTCACTCGATGCATCTTCGCTGCATTGCTAAAATCCACCATTTTGTGATTTATCCACATTCCTGAAATGCATCCTAAGAACCAGAAAATTCATTATTTCCTCATTTTCAACAGCAATTATCAATTTGCATATGCAGTTTTTATTATTTACATATTCATATTTGAAAAAACACCGATCGCGCACCGAAATGTTAATCATAAATTTGACATCGCCCGAGATGATGAAAATATAACTCTATTCTCCAGAAGGAATATTGCATAAATTCCAATTAGGAAGTAAAAATGATTAATCCTAGAATAGCATTCACTTAGAGGAGCTATTTTATTCTGGGACCTCTCCTTTGATATGATGAAAATGCCATTTGATATTTTTGGGACAATTTACATATACTGAATAATTTAATAAATCTCCACATATTACAGCTAATTCCACTAACTGAAATGATCACTTAATAGCAGAACGAGCATGGACAGGATAAAGTACCTTGGAAACTGGTGACATTTCTCAAATGAAATTGTGAGAATGCAACACTAGCAACATCAGACGTGATGCCACCAACGAACATGGGCGAATTGAGCTTCAAGTACTCCCTGGTGCCCTCATTAATAATACTCCTGGCAGGTCCCCTATCCACCCTCAACGTGAAGTTCTTCTTAACAGCAATGAGTTCAGCCATGTGGGGCTTGCCATCCGACACCATCTCGTAGCTGTACATCGTCGAGGTAGGATAATTTCCAACGTCATAAGAAACCCGTACACGACCATTGAACAGTTCGATAGCAATATGTTCACCACTTTGGTCCATTCCATTGTACAGTATAACACCATTTTCGTGAGTGGTTGTGAAGACGATGGTCACATTAGCCTCGGGCTTCGTACGAAGCGGCTCAAGCTCGACCAGCGAGCTGTTATCCACGAAGCTCAGGCTCGTCAGGTACTCGCATCGTTTTCCTATTTTTTTTTTTTTAATAATCAACAGCTTTTAATTATTTTTCCTCATATAGAAAATTACGGCGACTCTCTCCAAGATAAATTGTCAAGGGGTAACGAAATAAAAATATTGAATCTAGTGAGTTTATTTTGATTATTTGGTTGTTAGACTTACCAGTATAACCGGGATGGCACTGGCAGAGATAACCCGCGGCGGAATCAGAGGAAGGCTGGAAGCAGGCGCCATGCTGACAATCATGATGTGCACATGGACTCGTTTGTGGATAGAGCATGGCTGTCGATGGGGCTGCTTCACAGTATCTTCCTGTATAATCCGCCGGGCATTTGCATTCGTAATTGTTTATGCCATCGATGCAAGTAGCACCGTTCTGAAATATTGAAAAAACAAAAGGTGGATCAGTGGAATTGAGATAAATATCGAATAATATTGAATTGATTGGATTGATTTCACCGGAGGATTTAATCTTACCTGGCACAGATGATTAACACAGTCATCCAAGTTTGTGGAACAATTAAGGCCAGTGAAGCCGATCGGGCACTCGCAGCTGTAGTGGGTCCTGTGGTCGACGCACCTTCCTCCGTTCTCACATGGATCATGTCCTTTTGAGCAAAAGGGTATTTTCTCTTCACAGTATTCTCCCATGTATCCCGGTGTACAGTCGCATCTGTAGGCCTGTACGAGGTCCACACAGGTTGCGTTGTTTGCGCACTTGTTGTTCTCGCAGTCGTTGACATTGTTTTCACATCGGAAACCCTCGTAACCGGGGGCGCAGTCGCAACTGTCACACATCGACTTAACGTCAATTGAGAGATAAAGCTCGTCGATTGGATCTCAACCGATCCACCAACAATTTTATCAGCGATAAAAGCCAAATTGTTGTAATTTTGAAAAATCATACGGGCGAAATGGTATCGATCTCTACGCATCTCAAAATAATATTTCGTCGAGAGATGATATAAGATGATAAATCATAAATCATAAATCATAATTTATTTATAATTGGTAATTCATGCATCGGATACAGATAATTTCGTGCCAATGATTAACGTAATTTTAATGTCAACAAAATTGGGGAGGCGAGCTTGATCCAACCCGCTCTATATATCTAAAAAAAAATATACGATATTGATAAAAATTGGAATTGGCTGTATTGTACCTGAATCTTCCTTCCTCCAATACTTTGCAAGTTCCGGCGTTCCTGCAAGGATTTCCATAGCACGCGTCAATTTTATGCTGACACCTGTCCCCGTGATATCCTGGCGTGCACTTGCAATTGAACTTCCAGTCCGGTAATGTCTCGCATAATCCTCCGTTTTGGCATGGGTATGTGTAGCACACATCGCATTTTGCCAAGACCTCGGCAGGCTGTTGTTTGGCTGCACGGAAGAAATGTCTACGATTAATGAGCAATTTTAGTACCGTTCTGAGAGTTTTGACCAAAAATAAACAAACTAAATAGACCAAATCCATTCAATCAAAAATAAAAACGCAAAATATTACGCGAAACATAGGTTTTTCAAGCGAAAACAAATCAAATCTTATTGTTAATTACATGAATTAAGGAGATAAGTTTTTTTTTTTATACACGAGTTAATCCCACAGGAAAAGTTTCTTAAAATCTGTCAAAAGTTTTATCAACCGCTCATGGAATTTGATCGGAAGATCCACAGATTTACTGATGATTTTTCAATAAATAATTTATCCATCAAAAACATTGCATTCAACGAATTAATAATTTTTTTATCTAATAATAATAATTTAATAAACGACACAACATTTTTTTGTTGAAATTTCCCGTGTCATTTATAATAATTGGAATTAGCAAGTACTCATTAGAATTATTAATTGATCTCCTTGATTCATCTAAATAACCAATGAACTGAGCAAGTTAATTAAAACTTACTTTTGCATTGGAAGGCGCTAGCTGGAGCGCTTAATAATAATTTATCCTTCATAGTGGAAGGCTCCATACACCTGGCAATGCCAGGCTCAATGTCCAGGTCTTTTTTCACCCACTCTGCCAGCCACCGCATGTGACAGTCGCAGTAAAATGGATTCGAACCTATAGCTCTGTAATGGTATAAAGTGTTTAGAAGTGTTTTCAAAGAATATTTACACTAGAAATTGAATTACGATGGTCCTTACAGGTGTGTTATCGACTCCAAATCGTCGAATGTCCCTTCAGGAATTACCGATATATCATTTCCATGGAGAGAAATTATTCTTAAGGATTTCAATCCTGACAATGAGTGTCGTTGCACACATTGAAGCTTATTATAACTGATAATTCTGAAAAATGATATGAAGTTGATATAATATTGACAGAACGCTTCGGAAATATCTGCGGTTTTTATCATTGAATTGTTTGAATTACTTACAAGTGCGATAATTTTGTTAAATTCCTGAACGTGTCGTTGGCCAGCATTCCTATTTGATTATTACTCAGATCCCTGCAAGGTAGTATGAGTCATAAGTACATTAAGATGAATTCAGGATGATAGAAATAATTCTTGAGTAAACGGAACATCGGAGCGCACTTCAATCTCACTGTGTTTTCATTCAAGTGCAATCAGTTCAGATAATCGTATTTTCCTGATCCCTCTGTGTAATTAAATAGTTTCAATAACAGTGTTTATACGAGATAACGTGGCTTTCATTAAAGAAATTACGGACTTTTGAGTTTGTTCAAATATTTGATCCCCCTGTGTGCTTACGTTAATGCTCATGCACCAGAAGTAATGCCGCAATTTTGTTTGTACAATTATGATACAATTATGATAGTGTACTCAATGCAAACAAATGTAAATATTTTCTGTTAGGGTAGTAATAAATAAATAAACGGGAACAACATTAATCATTTTTTTCTCCTGTGAATGTCAAGGCGAAGACAAGGGATTTATGAGAGAATTGAGTGAAGTTTCTTGTCGGAATTATTTATTTTCACGTTACACCTGTGAATTCTCAATTGGTTCACTCCATGATAGTTTTTCACGTCTGACTAAAATTTCTGTCTAGATAATTTTGCAAATTCCCTTTGGGAAAAATCCTCGGATAAATTCTCCCGAACCTCATTTTCCCTGGATTCTCACAACAACTCACAAGTCATATTTTTCCACTCATCTTCTCTTACCATTTCACTGCAGAAAAAAAAAATCCCGTTTTTTTATGTTGCGCTCCGTTATTTCGCTCTAGTTATTTCAAAAGTGCAATTGAAACCATTTGATGTCGAGGGTGGAAACTCAATCTCCTCAAATCTTTATATTACCGCTATCGCGAAAGACACTATCGCTGTATTTTCGTCATTATATCTGAGCTGCACCAATACTGCTATTTAAGAGAGAATAAAATGAAAGGAAAAATAAAACAATGAAAACCAATACTCACAATCTAGTAAGCATTCTCAGGTGGCTAAGTCTCTCGGGCTGAATTGTTTTTATATCATTGACGTCTAGATAGAGCTCAGTAGTCTCTGGGGGTATACCCCGAGGTATTTCAGTTAGACGGGATCTTGAGCAACTGACAACAGAACCAGCGCAGTGACACCTCGGTGGGCAATAATCATCCCCGAGACACCCAACACTATCACCTAAAATGAAGCAAATCAAAATGGAATTCCACAAATCAATCTTTCAACTATTGCACTCATTATGAATTATTGACTCAAATATTATATAAAATTTTCTTCATTGCATTTCACATGATTTTCTATTTCACATTATAATCCCTGCATCAAAAACTCATCACATTCCAGTTTCCTGACAGACTAATGAATAAATAATAATAGATAATAATAATCAATAATGATGCTGTAAAAAATATTAGAAATATTGTGAGAGATTTAATTTTGGTGTATTGCAATGAATTTTGAATTTTCATTCTGAAAAGGAATAATCTTGTCTTTAACGTGCAAGTGAATTACACGACGATAAATTATTCCAAGTCTCTAAAAAATCAGGGAAAAAATGATTTTATAGTTGTCAGGATGTTTATTATCATTGGAACGACAAAACGGAGGATCTGGGGAGAATGGAAATATGATACTGACTGTTGCACTTGAACTCGTGCCTCGGAATGTCTTTGACGTGGGCGTCCTTCAGTCTTGGAGGATCATGGCATCTCCCTATGGTGCCTGGCATATCACGAGTCCTCAACCATTCAGCGAACCAAGCAAGATGACAGTTGCATGATAGCGGATTTCCCTGCATGTCACTGGGAAGAACAAATTATCTCCGTAAACCTCAACGACTTCAATTAAATAATTTCCTCGTCCCGTCTCCTATTTTTCCCATATCAAATTATAACACTAGATCATGGAATATATTTGAAACCTCAAGTATGACAGCTTCAGTATTTATTTAATTATTTCGTTTCAATTTTGAAGGAATTTTTATCGTAAACGATCAATTGTTATTAATTGCGATGACTAGTGGTCAATTGATGTCGATTCAACAATTGAAAAAATTAAATGAGTAATTAAATTCCACCGATTCACTCAATAATTCATGACTTACATGTTTCGAATATGAGCTAGTCCCTCGAAAGATTCAGGCATTACGCAGGTGATGGAATTTCCCGTCAAGTTGCTGTTTGGAAAAGTTTTAAATGTAATTATAGAGAAGATGAGGGATACGGGGGTGAAAAATAACGATAAAAATACACTTACAGTGTTTTCAAGTTAGTTAGGCCAGTGAACATTTTATTGTGCACCTCTCTGAGTTTATTATCGGACAGAAGAAGTTCGGTGAGCTTGTGGCCACCTTTGAAGGCTGATGCCTCGATCCGAGTGATTTTATTTCTTCGCAGATCGAGATGCTGGAGATCGGGTAATCGCTCGAAGAGATTATCTGCTTTAATTTTTTCGATTTCGTTGTTGCCGAGTAATCTGGAGATAATTGAACCGTAAGGGACGGAGATTGCGGAGAGGGAATGGGATTCAGGGACTCACATGCCCTCATTCCAGAGTAATTTTTCAAATACTCACAATGTTGATGTGTAAACCGGAAGTTCCCGAGGGATTGATGTAAGTTTTTTGTCTGAACAATCCACAGTAGCTCCATTACAAATGCATGGTGAAGGACAGGCACCTGGGAGTATGCACTCTCCAGCCCTTTTTGTCAGCAATTTTTCATCGCCTAGAATCAGAATAAATCATCTCATGGGTATCGATTAGCTGATAACCAAGTGCCTGTTCTACCCCTCTCTGTTTTAATAAAAATATTCCATAAATAATCTTCATGATCGAAATAAAATGTCCGAATTCTGTAATGAAGTGTTGGAGAACAAAAAATGAATTCAAAGGGTACATTCAGCTGAGAATGAATGAAATTGCAAGAGAATACAGGAAGATCTTATTTATTGTTGATAAAATGGCTTTATTAAATAAATCTGACATCCTCCTTCGAACCCGCTTGTTCTAGATATGTTGGCGAAGGAATCTATGCCAATGTTTAGTCAGACGGAAAGTCGTCATTCATTTATCGAGTTCTATTGCTCGGGAAACCGGAAATTTCACAATGAAATCTCACAGAACTTTCGTAATAATTATTCAATCAATATAAATTTCGGAATAAATAAATAAATGAACGATAAATCCACTTCATGAAACATCTTGTCCGACGATATTCGTCAATAAATTTGTTATTAATTAGATCCATCTCCTTTTTTAATAAAAATAGTTCCCCAAATCATTCGGCAGATATTTTTATAAAATGGAGATTTGAAGATTTTTTTACGTTCGAATTATTTGGAAAAAATTGTAGGCGTAAGAAAATTGTCTTAAAGTGGGTAAAATATTTGAAATCATTTTTTGGCCTTTCCAACTTTTTACAGAATTATTACAAGTCTTTATATAATCCATCAGTAAGTAATATTTTCCTCGGTATGAGTGGAAATGCGAATGAGATGACGAGGATATCGCACGTTGTTTACAAACAAAACATCAGAGACCCATGCAGGGGCTGTAAAAACATCGTCTGTAGAATGGAAGAGAATGTTAGTAAATTTTTTTGGTATTATTAATGATTCAATGCATGCTTCGTCACCTTTTGATCTTAGGGACTCCCAATGACCCTGAATGATGTTAATACGATCTGTGAATGTTAGTTTTTTCAAGCGTACGTACCGTTATGAACACATTCCGCCGGTTCAACCATTTCAGTTTTGATAAATATTAAGGAAAATGAATAAAAAAAAATTAAGTGAATAAAAATTTATATTTTTCAGTCCGTTCAATCTCTCATGTGATCATTCATTCATCCAGACATGAGCATTCGCGTGCAGTTGAAGTGAGCAAAATCATAATACAAACAAAACATTTTTAGATCAAGGGAAATATTCAGTAGACTTGATGATGACACTTTCTCTCTTGATGTTGATGACGGTGATGGGCGTGAAAAAGCATGGATTGTTTATGGTTTGTGGTCCATTTTGATTGGATGAGGAGTGATAAGGTTACCGACCTGATACCAGCCTGTCGAAGTAAGAGAAGATACCGGAAGTCGAATCGTGCTTACCCTTACATTTGAACTTTTCGTCCCGCATCACTTCAATCTTCCTCTTGGCAGCGCGTTTTGGTGATTCGCATTTTGGTCCAGATGTCTCGATTGGGTGTTCATGAAGGTACAGAGACAACCAACGCAAGTTGCAGTCGCAGATAAACGGATTCTTCGCTAAATGCCTGTTTGAAAAACAAAAATTATCCACATTTTCAATATTTTTCCATCGACTCTCCAACTCGAGTAATCAGAGATATATCGATTGCACTTTTATATCGATCATTTCAATTTCATTTGACTTCCATGAGAGCTCACTACAATAAGTCATTTGAAACTGTCAAATGACTAATTTTATTTAAAATTGCAGTGAGTAATTGAAAATGGAATAAACTCTGTATTCATAAAATAAGGAGATAATATAGAGTGGAAAACAATGAATACTCACAATGTCTGAATATTTCGTAAATTAGAGAAAGTTCCATTGGCCAAAGACTTGATATTATTGTCATACAGTGATAGCAGAGTCAGACTAGTCAGATCACGAAATAGATCGGTACGTATGCAGGATATGTCATTAGCATTCAGCAGACTGTAACAATTCAAATTTTGATTAATCGTCGTGTTTCCACACGTACATTAATGAATACAGAACGAGGTATAAACATCCCCAGCCAATATAAACTCGAAAATAACTTCTATTTAGTGTGTGGAAATGTTTAATTGGAACTCACAGCAACTGCAAACTAGTTAAGCCCTGGAATACGCCACCGGGTAGCTCGGTTATTTTATTTCCGTAGAGAACACTAGAAACAGAATGTCCATTTGTCATCAAAAATTTTAATGAACTCATGAATCTTTTTTTTTTATTTCTGTTTGTTTTTGTTGGCGAGTTACTCACAGAGATTCGAGGGATTTTAATCCGTGAAATGCGTCTGCAGCCACTTTTTTTATTTTATTGTTGCTCAAATCACTGGAAATTAATTTTTAAAAATTACAAAATTACGACATTTGGTAAATTGCGGTATGAAGGAAAATTTATTGAATTCAATCGATAGAGAAATTATTTATGAGAGTCAGAGCATTTTCTTACATTCTGACCAATTTTCTGTAAGGAGAAAACGCCTTGGGTGGTATTTCAGTGATGGAATTTTGCTCCAATCGTCTGTAAAAATGGAAATAATTTTGTGATGATTGTGAAATTACCAGACGGCTAAGCCATAAATTTCAATTACAATCAACTCACAATTCAGTGGTGTCTTCGGGCAAATGAGTGGGCACTTTCTCTAAGGAAGTTTCTCGACAATGAACAATTCCATTGGCACATCTGCACGGATGAGGACACTGTGGCTCAGCTGTGCACTCTGAACCAGACCGTTCAACAGGCCCTGAACATTTGAATTCGTGCTCCTGAAAGTGGCAATTAGTCATTGTTATATGAGACACTTGATCATTGAGGTAATAAAACGCACCAGAATTTCAAAAAAATCACATGATTACTCAATTTTTGAGAGATATAAATATTCATAAAAATCCGATGACTCAAGGGGAAAGTATTTAAAAAGGATTTCAAGTCCCTAAAATTTTTAAACGAAAAAAATTAATTCCACTCTATATCGAAATTCCTTTTGGACCTCCGGATTGTCTTTAGAAAAAGCCGTCATAGAAAAATAAAAATTTTCCACAGATGTGAAAATTCTAATGATAACCGATGCAAAAGGTAACAAACCAGCTTTTTTTAGTGGTAAAATTGAAACAGTGTTGGTAATGTCCACTTCGATAGCGATAAAAACGAGACAGCTGCACGTGGCGCAATAAATTTCTCAAAAAACTCCCATAAGCTAACAAAAATAAATATCTAAAAAATATTTGAAGGCATGAAAACGTCGCATTTCCAGTACACGTTTCTCCATACATTCCAACATCTTGGTACTTGATTTACGACTGGCGTATTTAAGGAAATTTATCTCGTTGCCCACCCACGGAATCGACATTTTACGCGATATCCAAGTGGTCTGAAGACGGGCAAAGAAAGAAAATGATCGAATCCACTGGCCATTTCACCCTGTCGTTACCTTTATAGTCACAATTTTTTTTCAAACGTTAAAAACTGGTTTTTTTCTATCTTTTTCTTGTAATATTGAGGGAATATATTCTCGCTGCACTTGAGAGGGGAGTTGTGTGTTTATGTACCTGTAAATTGGCAAGCTCTTGTCCTTTGAGGTGAGCCGGTGATGCGCATTTGGTATGCTGGCCAAGTCGTGGCATGCTCTTGAGGTGCCTCGACAACCAGGCGAGGTGACAGTCGCAGGCCAGAAAGTTGTCGGATAATTTGAGTGTACGTAAACGAGATAAACCGAACAGCATCTCCTTGCCTAGGGTTATCAATTTGTTGTTGTTCAACGTCCTTGAATTAAAACAAACAAAAATATAAAATCCCCTGGAAATAATTCTTCATCATCAGTTTTCCACATTTTTTCAATTTATTTAATGACCAATTCTCTGACATACTATAATTATTCGATTAAATTAAATTTGTCGATTGCACTTACAGAATCTCCAAATCCTTCAATTCTCTAATTGCACCCTCGTCAATACATGTGAGAACGTTATTGTCGAGTAATCTGCAATTAATAATTAATAATTGATGATTTAATTGTCAATCTGGGATGAGAAATGATCGTGAAATTCTTACAGATGTTTCAGCGCCGAAACCCCACGAAGTGTTTTCGGTCCAATCATCGCTATTTGATTGTGATTCAGATCTCTGTAATAAAAGGCATCTTAATTAATTAATATAATTACAAAATAATCCTTGGAAGAAATATAATTAACAAGAATATTGAATTACATATGAGAAAATATAATTGCTCTCTTAGCTTTCATACAAATTCCCAATAATTCATATATATATATTTTATTTTCAGGGTAGAAAATCATTTTTTTGGTTTTACATATAAAGAATTGAAAAAGGAAAGAAAAAAATTCCCCCTTTTTCACCGCTCGGCCAAATTACAAATGTACAAAATGAAAAAACTGTTACAAGAGAGAAAAAAAAGGGAAGGTAGTGATTACCCTTCACGTGACAGGTTTCATCGATCCATTAATAGAATAATAATAATAACCTTTCCACGTATGAACCCTTGATGTCATTGAACTCCGACGAGTGACTTTTGTACATTCTCCGTTATGAGAAGAGCATGTGTAAATGATAAAGTTTTCGCGTAGATCGCAAGTTCGACCTACATTATCAATACATTATTCACTGGGGTCGGGGTGAAATTATTACGCAGTAAGTGAATAGGGGAATAGATAGAACTCAAGCTGATGGAACTCTAGAGTCCCCTCAGAGTCCAGCAACACCACAACTAGTGGATGTGCCCTGACACAGCAAATGGCAAAGTTGGAAGGGTTCTCAGACATCAGAAAGACCAAAGGGGTTTGTACCCTGAAACTACAATATTCCCATAGAAATTCAGACAAACCCTTCACCATTTTCACTTGGCTTTTTTCTTCATATTTTTGGAGGGAGAGACTACAATTCTCTGTTCATTGGTCTCATCTCACTCGAGGAGTTTGCACGTGCATCTGAAAGGTAGTTTTCTGGAGTAGACTTACGTGTCGAACTGCAGGAAAATGCGATCAATTGGTCTGGCATAGTTGACAAACTAGCTTTACACGACCTCAAGTTTTATCAACTCTGTAAACTTTGTTATCACTCGTTTTTCTGGGTTATTCATCGATTATCAGGCATATTTAACAATTCGTCGTGCAAATCTATTGAATTTATTTAATATTTTTTTCAAATTCACCATTTTAAGGGACGTCTGGTGATCGAATGACCATTTCAACTTTCATATTCAACTGATTGCCTATCAGCGATTAGTGAGCGCTTCCAGAACATTTGAGTATGGAAAAAAAATTCACTCGAAATGAATTGGAAAATTTTATCTCGACTATCCATTTATTACCTTCACTCGTACGATAAAAACAGCATCGGATTGATGGTCCCACGAAAAATCTGGGTTAAAAGGATTAACTTCTATTTAAATTGTTCAAAATTTAACATCTCTCCATACAATTCTGCTTGTTGCAAACGAATATTATTGAAACGGAGAATTTTATTTCGTTGGATATGGAATAAATAGAGTAAAAGCGCTTTTCCACGGTTTTCACATTCACTTTTATGCACTATGAAAAATTGAACGGAGAGTTTTCATGTTGTGTAGTTGAAATATAAAAAGAAATTTAAAAGAGATTTTTCACAAACTTTTTTATGAACTCATTGCAGTCAACAGCGGAATAGTTGTCGAGAAAATTTTCGACGAATTCCACACGATTCATTTCGCCGATAATTAAACGACTGAAACGCATGACCTATTTGTCTTCAATATTTAAAAAATAATTGATCAAACAATCAGTAATTGTCAAAGTTTTTTACTCCGACGAATTCCCTCCAGAATTAAATTCCCCTGTCATCAGTTGTCGAGAAAATTGTCGATGAATTACCCACATTTTATTTCGCCAATAATTAATTGAAAATGGAATGTGTGTCATAAGTGTGTAAAAAAAGAAAATATTTCAACATGTCTTCAACATGTTGTGAAAATTTTGAAACAACTGTAATTGTCAGAGTTTTTTTCTCCAGCGAATTCCCTCCAGAGTGCAATTCCCCTGTCCTATCCCGAGACATTGATGATGATAGGTTTGGTAAACTACCGGGACACAGTTCACCATTGACCATCCACTCGCTGTGAACTCTCCTTGCAATCTGTAATTATGTTCTGTACCACTGGGAAAACGGATTGGACTGCGTTATAAGCCTGCTAGCTTCCTCTCAACCCTTCTCCTCCTAAATTCGATAGTAATTTGAAATAGAGGAAACGTTATAAGACAAACCAATGGGAGAAATTCAGTCCCAGTACGCTCGACCCAATCCAGAAAGCAATTACCGAATTTCGATGTGAATGGAGGGGTAGCACTGGATTTTGCTAGCTCGTATGACCACCCGGGACAACGTCAAGCGATCCAGTGGAATTCACAAAGGGACCATAGACATTCTGAGGTACTTCCTATCGTAATCCTACTAGACAGCTAGACATGATTTATGAATCACTATCTGGTCAAGGGTTGACGGCACTCATTGATAAACAATTCATTAATCCATCTTATCCCTCGGAATTACCCTCCAATTATTATAAAAAATAACAGGTCTTTTGGTTTATTTGAAAAATTGTTTTTGCATTTTATCATATTTTTTATTTTTCATGACTCACAAAAATTCAAACCAATGAAATTCAATTTCAAATGCTATTGCGAATAGAAAAAATGACGGAAAAGATGAATGATAAATCGGCAGCACTCAGTTATCAGTGCTATCAATTAAATTAAGAAACCGAAAGGCTGAATTTGTTTGCCAATTAAACTCGAGCGAAACTTTTCACTTCAGAAATAATCTCTAAATCCGTTTGGCAAGGCTCCACCTTGAATAATCAACAAATCACGTTTAAATCCCCTTGGCGAATAAGGAAGATGAAAAAGTTTTGAATAAACGTAGCATCTTAATTACGAAATAAAAAACATGGAGGTGAAGTTGGAAAGCTCGTGCACCTGTGGTTGAATTCCCTGGGAAAAATGTGAATAATAAAATATGGGAATGCGGAGGAGTTGTCTCATGAGGGCTGGCAACTCTCGGTTGTTCCACTCGTTGTATCCTTGATCGTATTACATCCCATTGTGAGCAAGGTGGAGGCATCGTTGTTATTATTATTGCGCTACAGGAACTTTCGAGACCCGTCTGTCTGCCCACTTTACGGATGATGGATGGATCATGGTGTTGTGGGCATAGTTGGAATAACTCAGGCGAGGTGGATTGCAGTTTTTCAGGAGGGGATCGAGATAAGGGCCCCTCCATTATTTCAATGCTTCATGATTTTTTTCCTTCCACCATTGCAAATTCAAATACCCTCGCCCTGGGTTACTTCAATTTTCAATTTATTACTCCCATCTCTATACGACTGAAAAAATATGTAAAATCGTTTGGAAAAATAAAAGTTTTGTATTTTTTCATAAAGTGTTTCGTGTGAGTTAAAAAAAAAATTCTACCTCTAAAAAATAAATCGGAATTTTAATTGGGGAATCAAGAGATGAACGAGTTTTGAATTTTGTCGAGTTTTGATACAGTTCTAGTTATCATTGACATCGGAATAAAAAATAGGGCTTGTGTGTCGATCTTGAGTAATCGATAATCGATACATTTTTCAAGAGACATCATTGATATTCGTGAATAATTCATGACAGATACCTCTACCAATTACATAAATTATCACCAAAGGAATCCACTCTCATTTCAATACCTGATAAAACATGTAAAACCGGAAGTTCACCGGTGGAATATTATCCATATATCTGGGAAGGGGTTTTACCCTCTGGGTAAATACATTTGGAGTCGCATCTATGGACTGAAGGGAATGTAGGTCGCTGGTTTCTCAAAACTTTATGTGATACATACGAATGGTGAAGGTGAAAACCAGTAGCTCTAGGTACATCTGGAGCTCTTGCACTTCATCCCGTTTTTTTTTGCAACGCTTCAAGCTACTTACCATTACGAATGTCTCTAACAAGACAAAAAGAATGAAGATATACTACTCAAACTTGTAAAAATGTCCAACTTTATTGAACTTTTTTATTCAGCAGTTCAACTTCTTCCCTTCAGCTCTAAAAAATCCACTCTAAATTCCTCAAGCGTATTCCGATCAACGCGATAACTCCAGTGAAATTGATAACATGCTAGATAAAAATAAAAAATGGGAATCATAGACTTCATGGGATGTGAAAGAATTATTTACGATCCGCTGACAGAAATGAAGGAGCAAGATGCATTTCTTCTTAATCTGCTGAGGAATTTAACTATTTTCAGCTTTAATTGCTGAGTAATTGTTCTAGGGTAACTTAGCGGCATGTCATTACATCGTTTAGCCCCCCGCCAAGTCGGAATTTTTTTTTTTATCCGAGTGACAAAAGCCCCTGATACTGACACCTTTTTGCGTGCGGCTTATCCAATTATTCTCCGAAGTGTAACCACTCTTTCCACTTTTTCCTCGACCTGCCCCACTTCTCCACGCAATTTATGATACCATGAATATCGTAATCCTGAAGTGGAAGGCTTTTAATCTACATGGAATGAAAGAGAAAGAAAAAAGAGATTAAAGCTCACAATTTCCGTAGATTCATCATGTTGGTGAAGAGGGTGTCTGGCAGGTATCGAATCTGATTGTTGTTCAGCTTCAGTTTCTCCACAGCTACCAAATCTTTGAATGCACCCCTCTCGATCGTGTGGATCTGATTGTTTGACAACTGAAGAAGATTAAGTGTCGCCATGTCCTCGAAATCTGTTTTAAAGATTACGGAGATGTTGTTGCCCTCCAGGTGCCTGTAAATAAAAAGGGATTAGGGATTAGTGGAGTAATAAATACAAATTTATTTTCATTCTTTCTTTCCATATGAAAAATGCCGAATTCGCATTAACAATAAAAAAATTCATTCATAAAGAATTGAAATTGTTGATTATTTATTTCGCGAGATGAGTCATCAAAAAAGACTTTTGCGATGAGCAATTGAATTCTCGGTACAGATTGACAAATAAATAAAGATATTCGCGGAATAATCCCCAAACCTGTTTTGAAGTTGGAAATGAAAAATAATATTTTATGGAATTATCCTCGTGGCGTTCGTTCCTCCATCTGCAAAACAATGTTCACGTTGTCCCTGACTCATCAGTACCCCATCCTCTGCAGATTGAAACCTCCCCAAGAGGTATTTAACAATTTTTTACCCCCCGGAAATAATGAACTTCCAAGGCGGCGTGACTTCGTTACCCGGTGGAGAGTGCGAATTCGTTAGACAGAGAATGAAAGAAAAAAGGAAACCAGTGGCAAAGAGGAAAGGAAAATAAAAAGTTTACTCTGTAGAAAGAAAAAATAAAGAAGAGTAAAGGGAGAACTAAAGAAGAGAAAGAGAAGGGAAAAGCCGACGGGAGAAGCCGACGGGAGAGGAAGTGAGTCGCCGTCAAATGCAGCCGTTGACTTGAGTACTAACGTCCGCTTTTCCCAGTGGAAAAGAAGTTATTAAGGTCTTATTAAACTGCTTCTTTTCCTCAGCATTTTCTTCCTCTGCTTCTTTTTTTTTTATCTCTAGAATAAAAAATAGAATGGAGTGGGCCTCTGCGAGGGGGAGAAAAAGGTGAGGTACTAACGAGATTTGACTTCTCCGACGGATTTTCGTGGTTGGAAGACGGGAAATAGCGCGAAATGGGGGGATACGGGGGTTGGGAATGAACAAGAAATCGTGGAGTAGAAACAAATTGCCAGACGAGGTTATACCATCCCTTGACGTTTCCCCGATGATGACTACGTGACATTCGTCCGTCATTTCGACGTTATCGCGCACTTGGTGTTGATGGAAGGCCTGATATTCTGGACACGTTCAACTTCTTTCATCGAGTCATCATATTGTGGCAAGTTTTTTGAAACTATGATAGGGGATTCGGTGGATTGCTTCATTATTTTTTCCTTTTTTGGGGATTGAGCTGTCCAAGGAATATACGTTTGAGTGAAATTTTTTTTTTCCACATTGTCAGAAAATTACCGGAGATTTATCTCTCTTCATCAAAATAATTGTTTCTGTTCGGTTATTTATAATTTCGGAAATGTCACACTTATGGAAATTTCAATCAAGTTATTTAATTAGAATATTTAACAAAATTATGATTGTCAAGCGAATGAATTTTATGGATTGGAATTTTGCCGAGACTTCTAGATAAAAGAGAACTTTCAGAAATAATTTACTAATGAATTACATTAAGTCATGTAATATAGAGAATTGAATTGCAATATTTCTTGAGAATGAAACAAATTGTGTTCGCAGATAATTGAGGGAGATCGTTATCTGTTCGAAAATAAATATATCGAATTGGAATTCAAACAAATTCGGATGCCCTCTGATGATTGAATTATTTTTAAAAATTCAGGTCGCAAAGATTTTTAGTTTTGATTTTTTTAATGACTGTTGTTGCTTCTATAAGCGAATGATGACTGGTCTTGATCAGTTTGCATAAAAAAAAACGCCTAAAAGCGAAATTCTGCTCGAAATAAATATTTTCCCTGCACTTGAGATCCACTCGGACGGATTTGTGCTTCCGAGAACACATGGTACATGAGCTTTAAAGCGTCGGCGGCGCTAGTTTCAGTCTGCGCCACGGTCAATTAAAATAACTGCGAAATTTCTCGGAACACCACGACAAGTTACCGGCACTAAATTCAGTGGGATTCAGGTGGCACACTGCCTCGATTAATCGTTACAACTCTGAAAAAAAAAAAAAACCCATTTTTCACCAGCGTTTTTTTTTACCGACACATGTTTTCACCCAGAAAAACCACTCACTAAGTAAAAAATATAGCCAGCACGAAATATTTTCGAAAAAATGAATTTTTGATGCAGATCACGCTGAGAAAAAAATTTTCTTTAGCCAAGAATATTTACTAACCACAAGAAAATGCATTTGGGATTAGTAAGTCTTATGGGAGTATTTACATAATAATCGCCAGCTTTACTGGTGAGAAAAAAATATTTTTGGCAAAAATAATTTTTTTTCTTAGTGCATTTTTGTTTTTTTTTGGTAGCGACTCTGAAGGGGAATGCTGGAAATTTTTTTTGCGATGTCTTAGTATTTTATTTGATGTTGGGTATGCATGTGAGAATGAGCAATTGATGATGATCACAGTATTATATTGAAGAAGGGACAGTGAGAGTGAGAAGGGTATCCATCCGGCCGAGATGTAATCAAAGTTTGCAGACAACCACTCAGGGATGTTCTGCCTTGAGGAGGTCACGTCACTACCATCCGGATATTCATTTCCACCCTTGTCAAATTTCCCCCCCTTCACAGTTTCACCCTATCCAGTGGGTAAACCATCGAGAGGCTCTTCCTCTAATTCGCGAGAAATGAAACCGCAAAGGATATTATATTCGCACTGACCTCTTTTCCTTTTTAAAACATGAGATCGTCCGAGATCGTTCGAGATCGTCCGAGATCGACCGATAATATTCGAGATTATCCGCGATGATTCCCAAATTTTCACGATTTTCCAAATTGTTGACATTTTTTAAATTTCCAAAATTTTGAAATATTTCGGGATCGATTCCCTTTTTCCTTTTATATTAGGAGATCCAGATGAGATAATTATTTTTTGCTGATTAATATTTTCATTAATAAAAATAGAGAATTCGATTGAATTTTTTTTTGTAATGCAGCCATTGGGTATGGCATGAATCAGCAGTTGGAGATAATAAAATAAAAATCATTACACGTGGCGAATTTCTAAAAATTGCATTGCCAATGTCATCCCACACAAATCCCATAAAATTCCCTTCAATCGGTTGGAAAAAATGTCCACCGCACCATGAAATTTTTATTTCCTCCTCAACTCAAACTCGACTCTCAATTTCCACAGTCCCAATCCTGATAGACAAAAGAAAAAGTTTAACAAAAAGTGAATATTATGATACCATGGCAGATCTCGAATAGGTTTCCGGTTTTACAGATATCGAAGTTTCCAACCAATTTTCCGTTCACAAACTATAGAAAATAACACGTTTCCCACCCTCTGAAGATGATTCACCTTCAATATCCAACGCAACAGAAGTCAACACTCGTATTAGAGAGGGGAAAAAAAAGGGGGGAAAAATAAAAGTTTTATATTGACGATACGAGTAACAACAAAGGCTGTCGGTGCGATGTTACACAGGCCTACGAACCCACGTGAACTCTCGAAGAGGGTGTTCATGCATACGTGGGCAAACGTTACGCCATCGGAGGTATACCTAACGGTTTATCGATATTTTTTTCCCCCTTTATCTCTTATTATTCTGCAAGTGCAAAACGTGACATTCGTGGTACCCGCACATCCACCCATGTGCCTTAATCATGAGATTCCATTGAACGGAACCGAGGAAAATGTGTCTACTGTAACTAAGTTGCTAACAGTTGTCTTCGGGAGTGGACAAGGCGGTGACTGCAGTTGTCTTCTAGAATCTTTCTTGTATAACTGAAATTTATGGGATGTTGAAGAATGAACAAGACTCGAGATAAACACGTAAGACCATTTTTAACTCGTTTGCTTCTTTCAAACGTCAAACGCTAATTGATGATGGAATTTATGGGTAGGAGGGGTGGGATGCATATGCATCGTTTCTATCATCTTAGATTTTTTATTTCTTCATTTTTCAAAGATAATTACATCACCATATATTTCACCAACCATTTCCCACTATTATTACATTACGGAGACTAAAAAATTTTATAATGCAATTATTTCCTCAGATATGGAGTAAAAAGTCATCAAAGTCATCAGACCTCTCACGAACCGGAAGTGTCCGAGATATCCCCAAAAAATCTCCAAAAAATCTCCAAAAAATCTTCAAAGAATCCACAAAAAAATCTCCAAAAAATCTTCAAAAAATCCACAAAAAAATCTCCAAATAAATCCACTCCCCACAATCACTCCCACCACCTCAAACAATAAACCCATAATTGATCCCAGAAAACATGACTCTTCCTCTTCCCCTCCCCTCCCTTCATTAATAACCCAAAAAGGCACAACAGCTCCCGTCCTAAAAAAACCCTGAGAAAAAAAAAATGTAATTGCAGTATTACCCACGGAAGAGAGTTGACGCTGTGACGACGCGATATGGGCGGAGGGACTGGACAAGAGGGAGTGGAATCTTCATAATTTACGATGAAGAATGAAAAAAAAAAAAGTGAGTAAAAAACTTGAGGTCCTCATCTTCACGAATAAAAGTTGCTTTCTTGGCCCTCGCAAACTCTCTGTTTTAATTCCCTCATTCTCCTCTCCTCTCTCCCCCCCCCTTCCCCCCATTGACCGCATTGTTTATCTTTATTTAACATATCGATTACCGATGACTAGCGAGTGAATAATAAAGGCTCATTGAAAACTTTCCAGACAACCCAAATGTATCGAGTGGCAAAGAATTTCTAACGGGTGGATTAATATTTTCTCGTATGAATAATTAATGTCGATTGGCTCAGCGTTAATTAACCAAGTTTAACGTTAACGGTAATTAGTGGTGGTGGCATGGTCGGGTCGTGTCGTGGGGTCGTTTAGATTTAGACGCCTGATTTGGTGATGCATGAAAGCCACGCGCCAACGGCGAAAACCGCACACACGCAGACTTTATATAACCCCTTATGTACTTGAGGCTAAAGTTTTCCCGATGGCACTAGACCTTTGACTCGGCTTTAGCTTTGGTATGATTTATCAAGTGTGGGTTTAACATCGGGAAATGCGAAGGAATTTCTTTCTTCTCCAGTCATGTGACATTTTCCGCATGATATATAAGTGCGAAATATATATA